ACTGGGATAACAATCTTCAATTTGAATCGCCCCCATCTCCTCAAAGAATGAAGTAAAAAAGACAAAACAGAAAAACGAAACAAAAAGAAAAGAGAAAGCCCTTCTAACTTCGGTGCTGACCCACCTTATATCATTTAATGGTTCACTCCTTTTCTTTTTTCTAGTTGGCACATCCATAGATCTCACATGACTTCTAAAAATTGTCTAAGGACCTATTAATGACGAATATCATACATTTAAAACATAATTATAATTGGCGCAATTAAATTGCCGGGGACCAAATTACAATTCGATTATAAATTAAGGATCGAGACGTGATTTACTCTTAACATTTTCCATGAGGGTCGGCCGGCCTTTAAAAAGAAGGGAAAAGAGGATAAAATTATAAATTGTTATTTCGTGCGATCAACATGAGGTTTCAGGATCAACTCCTAATGGAAGCAAAAAGATTTTGATAGTTTTTTTCTTATTCGTTCAAGCTTTGATAAATAAAGTTATTGATACATGTGTTGGTGGGAGATAACATATACCCGTTAAAATTATCTGAGATGTGCATAAATCAACCCTAACACTATGCTTATAAAATAAATTATGTTTGATCAAGTCAATATTCCGAAGAAGATATAGAGGTACATTAATAAGGAGGAGGGTCGGTGGTGAAAGGAGTTGGCTTTCTAGTTTGTAGGTGATGGGTGGTCATGGGGTAATAAATACAAGGAGGTATCTTTAAGTGCTCCTTCATTTGAAATTTTTTACTCACATAAATTATACTTTCACTACCTTGTATTGACCTTGAGTGATGTATGATGAAGCACGAAACCTCTCTAATTTGTGACATAAAAATTGGAAATCCTTCATTTATCTCCTTTTTGTTTTTGCCTAACATCAGCTTGTCCCTCTAAAACTTGGAAAATGCACATGTAGATATAGACCCCGTCTAAATTTCCTCAATTTCACGCTCATTACTATATTAAATGAAGAATATTTACTGGCTTAATTAGCATCTATATGATATGACAATTATCCATTAATTCACTACAGATTGCATCTAAAAGAACTAGATTCAGGATATCCGAAATTTAAATTTAGGCTTCCCCGTCACGTAAAGATTGTTCCAGAATTTTAAATAAGTGAGTGTAAGTACACTATACCACCTTTGTCACAATGAATGCATATATAAATATATACACGACAAAAAAAAACTAGAAATAGCTATGAACTTCGTAGCTAACAGAAATTTTTGATATTTTGGCGTTAAATCGGATTAGTTACGATTTTTTTTTATATTTAGCTATAGAATTTATCCATCATTAATTTATTAGTAGTGATATCTTATAAAAAATAAAACTATATATGTAATTTGAGGTAATGATAGACTTAGGGGTGTACAAAGGAAACCGATAAACCGCACCAACCCAATCCGAGTCAAACCGAGAAAAAAAACCCGACTATGGGTTGGTTTGATTTGGTTTGGTGTTGGAAAAAAAAATCCGACCATAATTAGTTTGGTTTGATTTTTACTAAAGAAAGTCAAACCGAAACCAAACCAACCCGACATTACATATAAAGAAATTTTAGATATATTTAATATATAAATATACTTATTGTGATGTAATTTATAAATATTTCTTAAAAGATTTCATAATTTTATTTTTTGAGGTATTATTTCAAAGTTGGACTTAGAACTTTTGAATGTTCCAATAAGTTTTATAGCCATTAACATTAGTAAATTAAATAAAATAGTGCTAACAAAAGCTCAAACCAAAATCAAATCAATACTAATGCTAACAAAAGAAATTTAATTCAATACTACGAACGGGAATGTATTGAATATCTATTTTTTGTTTTGCAATAATTTAGATAAAATGTATAACCTATTTTTAGTTTTTCTTTAGCATTTAGTCATGTATTTATTACTCCCTTATTAGTCTACTTATTTTAGCATGACTTAGTACTCTTAGATTATGTTTATTTTTATTATGGTCTTTTAATTAGCAATATTTATATTACATAATTTTATTGTTGAATATTTTAGGATAATGTCATGACATATCTCATATTTTGTATTATTTTCTTGGAAAATACTTTATATAGTTGTATCTTACTAGGACTAAAGAAATATTTTGAGCATAATTTATATGTTTTGTTCTACGAAGATTTTACCAGAAAAAACCCGAAAACCCGAGAAAACCCGAGAAAAACCGAGAGTGAAAAACCCGAGTTTTATTGGTTTGGTTTGGTCTTTAGATTTAATAATCCGATACAATTGGTTTGGTTTGGTAATTGTAAAATCCGAACCAACTCGACTCATGTACACCCTTATGATAGTGAATGCAGTCGGCTGTAAAAGATTCAAAAAAATCTCTCTCTATACACTGTGTTTAGACTAATTTAATAAATTGAAGCAAAAAATAAATAAAAAATAGAAACATTAGTTGTCACATAAAAAGCAGAAGCAGAATCAGTTGAAATATTAAAGAGAACATTGCATCTTCATTAAAGCTAAATGAAGGAGCCTGCAAAAACACCTAATCCACCAATACAGCTATGCTTCCATAACAATATATATATATATATATATATATATATATATATATGGAGGCTTAGTCGAAACATCGGCTGGAATGTTTTTAGTTTTGCAAAAAAAAAAAAAAAAAAAAAAAAAAGAATTAAATGACTAATTCATTCTTCTTTTTCTTCATTTTGCAGGTCAGGTTCAAATTCATCTCTTGACTACTTCAGGGACCTTATTTCTGAAATCTGGAAAGTAAATAGTTTATTACTCCCTCCGGTCCACCATAAGGGTCTGTTTGGAAAGTCATCGGGTAATTGAAATTGGTGTGATTACTAGGGTAGTAATTACACAACCTAATAATTACTCAGTTGTGTAATTACGACAACCTGTTTATTTGTCATAGTAACAGTGTAATTACAAGTTTACTATTTGGTTGCACAAGTATAATTACGCAATTAGATTAAATTTTAAATGAAGTAATTATCAAAACTAAAAGTTAATATAATAAATATATGCCTATACATTTTTATAAGTATAAATGATATTATATTTGGTATTTAAGATATATATTTTTTCGTGAATATACATTAATTAGTAATCATATATTTATAACTAATATTGTAAAAATAATTTATATATGTTCCAACTTAATAATATTTAGTTTAGATACTTACAAAAACTAAAAACATATTTTATAAGAACATCATGGAATTCATGTTTGATCAAATAAATTAATATTTATAAATATAATGTCATAACATTATTCAAATGTTTGACAAAACTAATTTATCAATTCTAACTAAAAAAATAAACAAAATGCGATGTGAGTCAATACTACTAAAACAAGTAAATTGAAATCATGAATATGACACAATTTAAAAATTCAAAAAAAAAAATAGTTTAACATATGTCAAATTCCAACATAATAATGGTAAACTCCGCTACAACTTAAGATTAGGAAACATAATAAGTTTATAACCACATTCAACAAAGAAATTCCACTTTAATTGCATCACTCATTATATGCCAAGTTTGTTAATGACTCATTAGTCCTAATATTAGCAGGTGTAGTTTCAAGAAATAGAATAATAAAATAAATAATAAATAAAAATAAGCAATTAATGGAATCATAAGAAGTAAAGATAGATAAATAATATACAAAGAAAAATAAATTTTAAAATTTCAAAAGAATTTAAAAAGTAAAAGTAAGATAATAGAAATAAAAAGTTATAAAGAAAAGAAATTAAAATAAAAACAAAAAGAAAAGAAACTAAAAAGCAACCCTGTAATTACACAGTGTAATTATCATCAATTCTCACATCCCCGTGAGAATTGGAGAGTGTAATTGCATTCCTCCAATTATACCCAATTCCATATTGACCAAGTAATTAGTTGGCCAAACAAACATGCCAAACTGTGTAATTACATACAATTACACCCAAATCCAATTCCGAGATGGCTTTCCAAACAGGCTCTAAGTGACCAATTTGCCTTGGGCACACCCGTTAAGGAAATACTAAAATCTAGACAAAAATTGTTAGTCTGACTAAACTACCCTTAATTAAATGTTGCATCATAATTTAATGTTAGGAGTAAAAGACTTTTTAGGGATACATACATAAGGGTAAGTTTGGAAAAACAATTGAATTTTTTCTTGATTATATAAATGGACACTTATTTTGGACCAAAATAAAAAGGCAAATTGATCACTTATTGTGGACCGGAGAAAGTAAGAGCTAATTAATTTTGTTATACCAGAAACTTTCTAGAATTTAAGATACGCAAAATCTTATGGTATGTTATATGCAATTGGCTACATTGAATCTTATTGTTACAATATAATTCAGAAAAGGAGTAGGTCAAATCATCTCTTTCGTGTGTAGCAAAAATTATATGCTACATTCTCTAGCTCATGAACTGTGTAAAAGATAGTTTCATAAAATTTGGTGCTTCTCCTAGATTAAAGGTGAGTATTCTGATGGGTAAGCGAAGCTCATAAGTTAATAATGATTACAACTAACAGCCTGTTTGGATGGTTGTTACCTATTATATTATGTTATTGTTACATAAATTTTATTGTATTATATCGTTAAATCCGTCGTTACGTAACGAAGAAATGCGTCACTTTATGTAACGATTGATTTGGTGTAGTTGCGTTATGGTCGTGTATTATCATGAAACAACAGCAAACGATACAAACATCCAAACAAAGCTATAAGGGAATGAATTTTTCCAGAATCAATTTACTTCAATCTAACTAACAAAATTCCAACAACAGATATTTTCCAAATATTACATATTTTTAGGTATACTTACATTAGAGAAGAATAAATCCTGTTTCTTTTTTAATTGTTTGATTCGAAGAGGTGGTTATATATGCAGATTTAGTGGTTGCATTTTTCAATCGGTGGTGTACGTTCACTTAGCCAAAATTTTGGGGTTTCAACAATTTTTTAGCTATAAATAGGAAGCCAAATTCTATGGAGTAAAACAAGGGTTGAAGAAAAATAATAAAAGTTTACTAAGAGGTTCAACCACCACCCAACTTTTCTTCTTATTTTCAGAGTCTCGGGGGGCAATGTTTTTAATGTAACAATGAATTCATTGATCTGTTACCAGTAATTACGTGTCTAGATCCTCAGCCTCTTTATTTATCTATCTTCCTATTCTCTCCCACCAAATTTTGAGAAAAAAAAGAAGCCATTCTCACACGCTTTCCTCAAATAATCCTCTAGTCAAAAACTCAATCTCATTGGTCTTTTTCTTTTTCATTAGCCATAGCCATTTGGAAATAATCAAAATCCAAGAACAAAGGAGAACAAGCTCAAGATTTTAGTGGCATTGGCACTTTGGGTGCCTCGCCATTGTAAAAACACAGGCTAACGACAATCTTAAAATTAAACTCATGGCCGCGTTTAAAGAAAATGCTAGATCAAGCCTTATACTAGCAGGGAAAGTGTTAAATGAAGCCATCAGTTTCCTTGTTTTCACTGTTCTCGACATTCTTGATTTCCTTCTCTGTTACACATACAAAGTCATTGATTTCATTATTGAAGCAGAGTGGAAGCCTTGTTATTGTTCTTCAACAAAAGAAGCTATAACGAGCAGTGGTACAATCTTGGTGTCTGAACAAGGAGAATCAAAGATTGTGTGCCTGACTTCTTCTAGCAAGCTGCATCTTGAAGAAATTTCAGACACTCTTTACACTCGGCCTTCGTTAGTATCCGAAGTGTCGAAATCTACAGTGAATGAGCTAAAGCGACGTAAATTGGACAATGCTGCTGTTATACAACAGTCTTGTGAGAGGTTGAAAAATGGAAGTGTACGTTCAACTTTCACTGTTAATTCCACCATTGTGGAAATGCTTCAAGGCAAAATTGGTGGGCAGAAATCTCATGATCTTAATCCTAGATGGTCGGATTGTGATTGTAAAACTTGTAATTCTTGGTCATCTTCTAGCAAAGATTCACTTTTTGTCCGAGTTGATGGTTCCAAAGGTATACCAAAATAAGTTTACAGCTTCTATTTCTTAATTTTTATTCATGTTTTTGTTTTGTTTGGTTTAATTAACACCTTTTGAATATAATCAGAGAACGTGCAAGAGGATGTAATCTTCATTCATGGGTTCATATCATCATCGGCATTTTGGACAGAGACACTATTTCCAAACTTTTCAAAGGCAGCAAAATCAAAGTATAGGTTATTTGCAGTGGATTTGCTAGGATTTGGAAGAAGTCCAAAGCCAAATGATTCACTTTACACCATAAGAGAACATCTAGACATGATTGAGAAATCAGTTTTAGAGCCATACAAAGTGAAATCTTTCCACATTGTGGCACATTCCTTGGGGTGTATTTTGGCTCTAGCATTAGCTGTAAAGTATCCTGGCTCAGTCAAATCCCTCACTTTAATTGCACCGGTAAGCAGCTACCTGTTTTCAACATGTGACCAATTAATTATTAGAAAAACGATGGGATCTTTATACAAATAGTCGGACATATTTACTGTTTACTTTTCCTAATCAGTATACTTAGATAGTACACTTATTATACATATATTACTATTTTTGGTTCAAGTGATTGAATTAGTGATTATTTAGGTTAACTACTTTATTTTATTTTTCCTTGTGATGACATTTATTATGACAAAAATGACAGCCATATTTTCCAGCACCAAAGGGAGAACAAGCTACGCAATATATGATGAGAAGAGTAGCGCCAAGGCGAGTATGGCCACCGATTGCCTTTGGTTCGTCTATAGCATGTTGGTATGAACACGTAAGCAGAACCATTTGCCTTGTCATCTGCAAAAATCATCGTCTGTGGGAGTTTCTCACCAAACTTATTACCAGAAACAGGTGTGTTTTGCAAACATTTTCCTACCCACATTTACTTCTTGCTTTGTTCCACTTTATGCCCTGTCTCCTCTATACTTTGATTAGGTTTTATTGTCCAAACTACCTCAATTAACTATGACTTTATTATTGTATTTAAATGCATTTATATGAGGTCAAAAAATGGTCTCTCTATTTTCCAACATATAGATAGCGAAACAAAAGCAACTAGAATACGTGTTTGAATTTGCCTAAGCAAATATAGTGACCATATTCCTAGCAATGTTTCACGTTTAATTAGTTGAATTTGCATACATGGCAATTCATATTGTAAAAAAGTCATTTAACATGTCGAAATAACTTACTACCGGGGCTTCTGAAATGGTTGATTTTGTTATGCAGTCAAATCTCTCTATAACAGCCATATTTGTTTCGATATTTTTTGGCTGTTATAGTGAGGTGATGTTATAAAGGACATATATTATAACATAACATAAAAATCGGTTCTGAAAAAACTTGACTTTTATACATAGTGAATGGTTCTTATATAAAGATGTTGTTATAGAGATATCTAATTGTATGTCAATTTAGAATCATGGAAATGAACATACCAATTACCAACTGTATGCATAATTTTGGACCACACAAGAATTAAGCTATGATACTCGTAGTGCAACTATATTCAGCGGCTCCATATTGAGCTAAGAATCATTAAGGCTAAGAAATAAATTTATTTGGTGCGTGCTCCTTCTAATGAGATTACACTAATCAAAGTTCCAAAATCTAGAAACTTATTTATCATAGTCCCTACTCCCTTGACTATATATCCTTCACAATTTTTCTGTCATATCTTTTCCCTGTCCACCGTCTTTTTTCTTCTTTTAAGTACACAATTGGAGGATTGAGTTTTTCCAATCCACGTCATTTAAGTTAGTCACATGGCGCACCAAGTAGCTTTGTGTTAGGTCGTAATTTTAGGTCTATGGTTGAGGTATGCAGAGACCTATGCATATATAATGGCCCATTATTATGTGGACATTCATTTCAAACTTTAATACATAAATATGTCCTCAATGGGAAAAAATGAAGAGATAATGGAGTATTTTATTTCCTTCCACGTAACATGTACCAATTTTCTCACCATATTGATTTTAGTATACGTGTATCAGAGGCGAATCAAGAATTTTTAATTTATGGGTTCTGCACTATAATTCTTTTTACTTACTGAGTTTTAGATACACTATTTATACATATTTAATAAATTTTTTAATACAAATATAAGGTTTGGTCCAAAGTTATTGGGTTCTATCGAACCCGTAACTATAAGGCTACCTTCGCCCCTAACAATAGGATACTATTCTAACAAAGAAATACTAAAGGGCCTTCAATATTTGCATTAAAGAATATGAACAGTAATCATCGGCGCTCTTCATGTAGTTTTCCATTGCTGTAATAAATGTTTGTGCATCAAAGATCCAGAGAAAATGATACAATGGGGTTTTCTTTATTAACTCAAACAACGACCAACCAACTGCATCTACTGCTCCAACCTTTTCTTCCTTTCTCATAATTATTTCTCGATTTATTTTTGGTTGGTTTAGCAGCTAGCAGCATCTCTTAATTATTATCTCAATTACTCAGTTTGTATACGTTCCAAATAATAACGTAGAAGGACTATGAAAGAACAGTGACAAAGTTGTGTGGTTCAAACACCCAGTCCTTGAATTTGGTGAAGACCAAGAACAAAGGACGAAACGTATACATTTAATAGTCAAATCTTGTTGAGAAATTAGACACTTACGTATCTATTACAGTAGTAAATAATTTTGAAATTAATACAGTGACGATAAAAATATTTTTTCACTACCTGCATATATATAGTTCTACGTTCTACCTGTTGTAACATGTCACTTGCCATGTTACATAGGCATCTATCCATGCTTGTTATAGCAACTTACGTGTAAAAAAAAAAATGCGGGGTGGGGATGGTTGAAATTTTGCGGCTTAAGCTCCAACCTGCACTGCACCTGTCCCGCCCCGCCCCCCATTGCCATCCGTATGTAAAAGTTCGTTGTATTGTTAGTGTATAGAAGTTAAATTCGCTAGTAGAATCTGACGGAATATTGAATGCAGGATTAAGACATATTTAATAGAGGGGTTCTGCTGCCACACACACAACGCAGCATGGCATACACTACACAACATAATATGTGGAACTGCTGGAAAAATAGAAGGATACTTAGACATCGTGAGGAACAGGCTAAAATGCGAAGTCACTGTATTCCACGGCGAAGACGACGAGCTAATTCCGGTGGAATGCAGCTACAATGTACAGTCAAGAATTCCTCGTGCTCATGTTAAGGTGGTCGAGAAGAAAGATCACATCACCATTGTTGTCGGCAGACAAAGATCTTTTGCCAGAGAACTTGAGGAAATTTGGAGAAATTCAACAGGCTAAGTTTAATTCTCAACTTGTTTGATGACACGAAGAAGTTCAAGAATTAATGTGCATTCCCCACCATCATTTTTATCACCAAAAGTAAAAAAGTTCTATCCTATTTCAAATATTTGGACAAAATGAAAGTCTGATTGGGCTAGTTTACTTTTTCTTTTCTTTTTTATTTTTTATTTTAATTTCTTTGAATTTGTATGTGGAAATGCAAGCTGAATGTTTAGATAGTCTAGTATAAATATCACCAAAAAATGATAATGGGATGTGATAATCAACGATTATATTAAGAGCAATGAATAGTCGAAAGTTTTATATTTATTTATTCTTTTGCTTTTACTTATATTCCATCTTATTTTTGAATGATAGTTCAAGTATTTGGCATATTAATTACTTCGTCCTAATTAGCACCGTTCTAATTTTGAGAGTCAAACGGGTTCTTCTTTCCAAGATTTCTTTATGTCTTTTAAATATTTTGAATTACTCTCTCCGGTTCACAATAAGTGACCAATTTATATTTTTTATTTTAGTTCAAAATAAGTGTCCATTTACATAATCAAGAAGGAATTAATTTTATTTTCCAAAATTTGCCCTTATTTACATATTCCAATGTGCCAAAATAATAAATAATTAAGGCTAATTTAGTAAATCATTTTTTCTATAGGAGCTCGTATTTCCTTAATGGGCATGACAAAGATAAAATGATCACTTATTGTGGATCGGATGGAGTATTAATTATTGTGACTTATTGAATTTTTTTAGTAGTTTCTAAATATGTAAATTTAATTTAAAAAATATAAAGATTCTATATTTGAACTTAAGGTCAAATTAAATTTAAAAGTTTGACTCTCAAAATTTGAAAGATACGACATAAATTGCAACAGAAGGAATACATTGCATTATCCCCCGTCTAGTTTTAGACTGTAATATAGACGACTCAATTCGTTTTATAAAAGCCAAAATGATTATAATCAACAATAATGGGAAACAGGGTGTAATGTTTTAGTAATATTTTGAAGGAACATTTTCTTATCAACTCAATATGATCAGTCATGCCAAAATAATTCTAATAACCCCTCCATCGCATTTTATGTATTATTACTTTAGTTAATCGTTTCAAAACAAAACAAAAAACAATACCTTATATATTTAAAACTAACTTAACTTTAATATTTCATTTGGTATCGTTAATGATATGGTTTTATGCTGCACAAGATATCATAATAGGCTTAAAATCACAAATTTATTAGTTTTCCTTTTAAAAAAAATTTTAATTACGAACTAGTAGCTGACTTGATTTTCTTTTTATAAGATAAGACAAAGAAGCCAAAGATCAACTCGAAAGCACCTACATCTATTAGATGCGACATTTGTCTAACAATCAAGAAAGGTTCTTGAGGAGGAGAGACTCAAAATATTACTATCAAAGTCACTATGTTTGTACTCCCTCCGTTCACAATAAATGACCAATTTGCTTTAGGCACACCCATTAAGAAAATACTAAATTCTAGATAAAAATAATTAGTATGACTAAACTATTCTTAATTAAATGTTGTAGCATAGATAATGTGAGAAGTAAAAGACTTTTTAAGAATACTTATATGAGGGTAATCTTGAAAAAACAAATTGAATTGTTTATTGGTTATATAAATGAATACTTATTTTGAATCAAAATAAAAAAATTGATCAACTAAACAGTGCGATTCCATCATTGTTAAGAAAATTGAATGCCAACCATAAACTACAGCGGGGAAAGAGATACAATATATAAGTGTCAGATATAGGAGTCCATCTGTCAGGCAATAAGCTAAAGATTTTAAATTAGTGGACCAAAGTGGTACTAATAAATAGTGTAGGGTCTGATCAAATGGATGAGAGTTGCTGCTCATTGGCAGACCAGTATACTTGTGTAGCACAACAGCCACCAAAATTTGAGAATCCAACTAGTTTTTGCTTAGGGCGAGCTAGAGTATTAATTACGAGTTCGGACAAATTTAATAATTTTTGTTTAGATTTTATATTTATATTAGAAAATTTATTAAATATATATAAATATTTAAAGATAAACCTAGTGGAATAACTAAAATGAATTATAATTTGATGACAAGTTCAAAATTTATAAACTTTAAATTATAGCTTCGCATTTGAAGCTAGTCCTTGTTAATTTTAAAGGGGCGGTAAATTAAAGGGTGAATGACATTGGTCGTTGGTGAGTGATTTGCTACTGGGTGCATTTAATATGGAATTGATTGAAAGCAAAGAAAGTATAGTGTAAAGTAGTGAAGGTAAGACTTTCATGGCTCAGTAGCTACTGTTAGGAAAGCTATAATATTGCCGCTTGTCATCTATAATCTGTGTACAAATGGTAAGCATATAATGGGGCAAGGTCTCTTTCTACTCATTATGGGTTTCTTTTTAAGATGAAATATTAAATACTAATATTTGTCCTTTATATTTAGTGTTCTTGTAGGTTCAAGGAAAATTTATGAGATTTGAAATATATAATATAAGTTGAGTTTAATGGACGTTGTCCTTTATGTGGTGTAGGATCAAGAGAACTCGAGAGAGTTTGGAATAATATAATTTTGAGTTTAACTTTTGTACATGGTATTTTATTTTGACATTATACTTTATTATTGTCAAGTTTAGATGACATGCAATAAGTACGGCGTACATTATAACATGTCCTACAAGTAAAGTAAACAGCTCATTCTAACCAGTTAAACTACTAAATCTAGAAACATCGATGTAAAGTATAATTTAACTAGTATCTGGGCACGTGCATTGCACGTGTATCCCATATAAATATTTACATAATATATTTACAATTATATATTTGTGTATATATATTCTAAAAATATTTGACTGGGCTATAAATTAAACATTAAATTGCACGTACAATTAACATTATTAAATATCTATGGTACTACCTCTTATGAATGAAGTCAAAATATGCACTATGTTATATTTTTGAGTCGTCATACTTTCAATTAAAACTTCTCTTTCTAACTATGCAAGTTTAATTATTCTAACTTTTATGTACATGTCAACCATAATTATTGTAATAGTTACTACCACACAGAATAAGTACCTTCCTCGTTTAGGGACAACTACTAAAATATTTGTATAAAACAAAATAGTAGAAATATTTGCTTGGAGTTTTAAAAAAGAAACGAAAATATACAAAACAGTATCCTTGCATGAGTAGCTGAGAGGCTAACAAAATTGGTACAAGGGATGGAAATAGCTACAAAAGTTATGCCATCTCATTTAATTTGTCAATTTTTGTACATAAGACCATGAACAATTGTCACACCCCTTTTTCTACCCCCGAAAGAATATTATGTTATGGATCGTGGGTTAAAGAGTTTTTCCAATTGAAGTGACAAATTTAAGTAGGGATTATTCTATTGTTCAGAGTCGCCACTTGTAATTGATTTTTTTTTTTGGTGTTCCAAGTCACCTTTTGTTTGAATCCCTAGTCAAAGGAAGGTTTGACTCTATTATTATTGGTCTGCGAAAACAAAGTTTGGGTAAGGAATTATGTTGACCAGGAAGAAGGTGTAAGGCATTCCCCGAGTACCGTGGTTCTAGCACGGTTGCTTTATTGACTTAAACTTGGCTTCAATTAATTTTGGACATGTAATTTATAAGATTTTCATGTTTTACCTACCCACTTTTATTTCTTAATTATTAGACTTATTAAAGAATATTTTTGGATATTGTCATAACCATGCTACACAAGTGAATGCATGATCGAACAAAAAATATTAATTTATCATAATCGCGCCTCGCAAGAGAATCTGAAATCATGACAATCAATTATTTGTAGTGCTTTTACTTTTGCGAAAATTACTACATTTATACTTGAGAAATTAATTTGGAAAATTTATTAAATATCACTACCGCGCTACGCAAGCGAGTCCGTGGTTATGACAAAAATAATTGGGCCTAAAAGATGAGACATGATATTTATTTGCAAAGCTAATTATTGAATGTCACAATCACGCTATGCAAGCGAATCTGTGGTCGTGTTGAAATTATTAACGCACCTGATGAAGAGTTCACTAGCCTTCTATTTTAGAAGTGAATAAGTCATATAAATATTTAAAGAGAATATAGCTCTTTGAAATTAATTGATAAAACTAAAACACTTATATTTGAATGGCTAACTTTTATCAACTTAATGGAATGATTTGGAGATTTTCGTCATTAGAATAGCACTGGGCCCATTATGATTTTAAAACATCATTTTTTTAATTCTAAATGCAAGAAACAAACTGCCGCAAATCACTTTCTTTCTTCCCTTTCTCTTTTCTATTTACTTATGAAAAATGTAAAAATATATATTTTTTTAAAAATATCTTAACGATCTCATGCCTATTTGGCCTAACAGATTTATATTTCTTTAAGCAAAATATTATTCTTATATGGAACTAAAATTTAGCCAAAGTTCACTAAGAATCTTTACACCAATATAATCTCAAAGATAAAACCCTTTCACATCCCCAGTAGAAAAGAAATAACTTATTGATACCATGATCTTATCAAACCCGTATACATATTCTACTTTATGAGGAAATTTAGATTTTCGATATCCATGAGAAATAACCTTAAACTAACATGAGAGTCAAGATAGTTACATGAATCTGACAAGGTCTTTGAACCCAAATGACAGAAAATATTCTTTGTTAAATTTCATATTGTACTACCACTAGCATGAGTAAAACAAAATTATACAAAATTTTGTAAATGACACTAATCTAGAAGAAATTGAGCAACCATCATTCACTAGTTGAACTCGAATGGTACTCCAACAACAACAGATATTTAAGCTTCAAACAATAATTTTTAATTACAAACACAGAACAATCAAGAAAATAATCTCGTTCATTGCTTTAAATATTTAACTAACTTGGATTAATTATTTCCAGCACATGAGATAAGAACTAAACTTTACTTTCAATTTATAAATTTAAGCAATCTCCACAACTAAAATCCGCATGTTGATTTCCAGAACAACACAAAAATATGAATAAAAAAGAAACTGATATGAAGTAATTCACACACCCCTGACATAACTTGTATCCGCAACTCTAATAACTTGACAAGAAAATAAGGAAAGCTGGAACTATTTAATTACAGGTGTTCTATACATATTCATCATAAGGAGCAGACCTTATTGAAGGCATGGAAGTAAACTAAAGAAGCTTAAATCATCTCATTTTGCATTCATTCTTGACCCAAAAGTAGTACAACAATTGAAGAAATTACCTGATCAACAGAGAAAAAATATTAGCAAGGGAGGGACTGAATTTGAG